AATTCTTCAACTGCTTTCCCTGAATAGTGACTGTGCACACAGGTCTATTCTCTGAGACCTGACTAGCCCAGTAAGCAGCTTTTCCAGCAGGATTAGTACTTCCAAACCCTTCTATTCTTTTTGTTTTGCTATCCCCAATTTTAATATAAGACAAAAGCAGTAATTGAGCAAGTCTATCGCCTGGATTGGCACTCCAGGGAACAGTGGAGCTGATCACTAACTGAATTTCCCCTTTATAATCTGAATCAATTACCCCAGTATGAATTCGGACTCCCTTCAGATTGAGATTTAATCTTCCTAAAATAAGGCCTACCATCCCTTCTGGAAGTGGGCCATATACCCCTGTAGGAATCTTTTGTGGGGGCTCTCCAGGGAGCAAAGAAACCCTTTGAGTAGAACATAAATCTACTGCTGCGCTGCCTGCTGTGGCAGGGGACAGCAGTTGTATTGTTGTAATTGGCTGACTCCCTGAGATGGTGATATTTGCTGTGGGGGTTGTTGTCCCTGAAAACCCTGAGGAACAAACGGCTGAATCAGAAACGCCCCACTTTGTTGCAGGACCTGAGGCTGGCCCCTCTTCCCGTTCCAACAACGGTTGCCCATTTTTATCAAATTTAGAATGACATTCCTTAGCCCAATGTTTTCCTTCTCCACATCTTGGACATAGGTCAGGTGGCTCTTTATTTTAACTGTGTTTATTTAAGACTGGTCAATTCTTTTTTAGATGAACAATTTGACCACAATTATAACATTTTCCCCCAAACGTTCTAACTTGTCCTCCTAAAGCAATGCCTGTAATTGCTTGAGCCATTAGCATTGCCTTATGCATAGCTCCTCCAATCCCATCACAAGCCTTCACATATTCTGTAATTACATCAACTCCTGCTGGAACTTTTCCTCTTAATGGTTTTATGGCCGATTGAAATTCTGGATTTGCATTTTGATTAGCCATTATTTCTACAACAACTTTTCGGGCATTATCATCTGCAATAGATTTTTGAATGGCATCTTGCAACCTTGCTACAAAGTCTGGATGTGGCTCTTTAGAGCCTCGTCTGATTGAATTAAAAGAAGGGCAGGTGGTTCCTGGGTCCTGAATTTTTTCCCAGGCCCTGAGGCACATAGCCCTTAGTTGTTCAGTAGCCTCATTCTGCATTACTGATTGTTGGTTAATAGTGCTCCAATTTGGACCTGTTCCTGGCAATTGGTCTGCATCTATATTAACAACAGGATAAGTGGCCTGATTTTTCCGTACCTGTTCTTGTACTCCATCAACCCACCGGGGTTTAAACTGTAGAAACTGAGAGGGTAAAATGGAAGATTTAGCCAAAATTTCCCAATCATAAGGAGTAAGTCTTTTTCCATGAGCAATGGAATCTCATAATGTTCTCATATAAAGAGAGTTGAGTCCATGTTGTTTAACTCCTTCCTTCATATCTTTTAACATTTTCATGGTGAAAGATTCCTATCTAGGCTCAGTTCGGGCAGATGCTCTTACTTGACTCCCTTTCCCGGCTGGTATCAGTTGTAAAGTTACCGGGTACTGCCATGCCTCCAGATCTCCCTGTTTTCCGGCAGTATCAATGGTTTCATGCAGTGTACTACCTTGTCCACTAGGGGGTGCTGTAGGATCAAACGCCGTCGCCGTGGGTTGCTGATACAGTCCCTGCTATTTGGCACAGGACAGACCGCCTGAGATCTACACTGAACCTCTGGAGGCGGCCGATACTGAAATTCGGCTGGCAGCCAGTACTGATAACCTACCGGTGGTTGGGTTTTATTTTCTACCGACTGATATTGTGGATACTGTGTCCGGACGGGCGTTGCCGGGATAGAAACTCTAACCTTTTCTCCTTGATATTCTCTTGGGGTTTGTACTTGTCTAAACTGCATTTGAGATTTTAATGTCACAGGCATCTGAACTGCGGGAGGAGGAGTTGATGGCCATTGTGGTTTCGACTCTGATGGCCCAAATAATTCTGGACCTCCTTCCCTCAATTTTGATGATTCTGGATATATCACCTCCTGTAATTGATTATAGTCAACATTTTGCATTGACTGAGCCATTACCGGCTCTGCTACATTTTTACAATGTGAAATTTCCATTCCTTTCTTGAACTCTGTCCCTGCCTCTTCTTCACAATCTATTACACAGCTTTTAGGGGCATCAGAAACTGAAACGCTATCTTCTTCTATTTGAAACGGTACTAAAGTTGCTTTAATGATGGCCCAATCATTCCATACTGTAAGTGGGATGATTTTACCTTCTCTACTTGCTTTTTTAATTCTTTGCCAATTTTTTCCCAATCTTTTAGATCTAAAGTTCCCTGTTCTGGAAACCATGGACAGAATTGTTCTATTGTGTGAAATAGCGTAATTAGATTTTCTGTAGAAGCTTTAACTCCCCCTCTTCCTAAGAGAACTTTAATGAAGCTGAGACAAGAGGCACATTTACTTTCAGTTCGCCCCATTGTTACCCTGGATTCCCCTGAGTGCACAAGCTTACCGCAAGGCTGACCATGGACATACTCGGGAATCTCTCGTCGACTGTCCTCAATGCTCACGTTCTTAGCGTACCTTCACCCTAGAGAAAGGCACCTACATTTGGTGACAGATGAAGGGGTGGCCTGCCCCTCCACACCTGTGGGTATATTTCATCAGGTGTGATGAACGACTGAGAAAAGAAATAAGACACAGAGACAAAGTATAGAGAAACAACAGTGGGCCCAGGAGACCGATACTCAGCATATGGAGGACCTGCACCAGCACCGGTCTCTGAGTTCCCTCAGTCTTTATTATTATTTTCATTATCTCAGCAAGAGAAATGTGGTAGGAGAGCAGGGTGATAATAAGAAGAAGGTCAGCAAAAAAAATGTGAGCAAAAGAATCAATGTCATAATTAAGTTCAAGGGGAGGTACTATGCCTGGATGCGCACATAGGCCAGATTTGTGTTTCCTTCTTGCCCAAACATCTCAGTGGAGTAAAGAATAACAAAGCAGCATTGCTGCCAACATGTCTCATCTCCCGCCATACGGTGGCTTTTCTCCTATCTCAGAAGTGAAGAAATGTACAATCGGGGTTTATACCTAGACATTCAGTTCCCAGGGGCAGGCAGGAGACAGTGGCCTTCCTCTAACTCAACTGCAAGAGGTTTTCCTCTTTCACTAATCCACCTCGGCACAGACCCTTTATGGGTGTCGGGCTGGGGGATGGGCAGGTCTTTCTCATCCCATGAGGCCATATTTCAGACTATCACATGGGGAGAAACCTTGGATAATACCCGGCTTTCCAAGGCAGAGGTCCCTGCAGTTTTTCACAGTACATTGTGCCTCTGGTTTATTGGGACTAGAGAATGGTGATGACTTTTATCAGGCATACTGCTTGTAAGCATTTTGTTAACAAGGCACGTCCTGCACAGCCCTTAAACCTTGATTCCATACAACACATGTTTTTGTGAGCTCAAAGTTGGGGCAAAGTGGCTGGGGCAAAGTGACTGGGGCAAAATTACAAATTAACCTCATCTTAGCAAAGCAATTGTTCAAGGTACAGGTCAAAATGGAATTTCTTATGTCTTTCCTTTCTAATAGACACAGTAATGGTCTGATCTCTCTTTTCCCTACATGAGTGTTTTTGGGTTTAGAGAATAAAATTTATATTGTAAATATATAGCCATATGTTAGGCTCTTCAACCTCAACTTGAACTTAAGTGGAGCCCATTCATTAGGAATAAAGTCCCTGTATTTGAAGATTTCATAAATTAATAATTATCTTTTTTCAGTCTCCTTTCCTCCCTCTTTCTTTCACATACACTGACAAACACACAGGTGCTATAACTTTAATTACCTGATATATTAAAGCAAATTGGTTCTTTTGCAACTTGACCAGTTTAGCTGTTGTTCATGTTGTTGTAAGATTAAGAACATGTTTCTCAGCTGTGTGCTTCTCTAAGCTGGGCAGCAGCTTTATTTGAAATACACAGAAACTGAAAATAATCCAAATATTAATCAGCAGCTTTATCAGTAAACAAATTGTGGAAAAGTCGTTTATTGGAATAGTACCCACTACTGCAATCAATTGGTGTTGGATACGATCAACAGCGTGGTTCAGTTCACAAGTACATATGAGTATAATGAATCAAATCACATACATGTGATTATGTTTTATAAACTGTACACAGTGAATACTCATTGCAAGTTACATAGAAAAGATCCCTAACTGACTTCTCAATGGTAAGAGGAGGGAAGGTGGAGGAAGGGGAAATTGCAGGAGAAAAAGAGAAAATTTTGAGGCGAATTGATTTGTTTTCTCTGTGAGAAAATGTCAGTGATGATTATGTCAGTATTTGTCAAATTGAGAACATATTAGGTGAAGATTATAATTTGCCAATATTACCTTATTAAAAATAAAAGTATAATTTGGTAGAAAAAGATTAAGAGAGAGATAAAAATGATACAAGAAAAGCCATAGACTTCTGAATACACATGTAAATTAATCCTCAGTTTTTCTGTATTGTTTAGAAAAACACTAAGATACAACCAAATTATATCATGATATCATTATATTAAGAGGATTTTGTAAACCTCACTGGAAATTTCTTGCTGTGTCCTAGAGTTAATTTAGGGAGCAGTTGGATCCAGCCCTGAGAAACACAGGCCAGACACTGAGAATAGCTCTTACCAGATTGAGCTCTTAGACATGTCACATGGCCCCTCCATGCTTGGGGGTTTACATTCATATCTGTAAATGAAGGAAAATTTGACTCTCATGGAGCATAATTCATGTGCATCTAAAAGTAGACATGTTAATGAGAATTAATTATTTATGACATATAATCACTCACATCCACTCTGGGACACATCCACTCTGAGGCATCCCTTCCAGAACTCACTATATAGTAGGAGACATGCAAATAGGTCCCTCCCATTGCTGATGAAAAGCAGCCCAGCCCTGACCCTGCAGCTCTGGGAGAGGAGCCCCAGCCCCGGGATTCCCAGGCGTTTCCACTCAGTGATCAGTACTAAACACAGAGGACTCACCATGGAGTTTGGGCTGAGCTGGATTTTCCTTGTTGCTATTTTAAAAGGTGATTCATGGAGAAATAGAGAGATTGGGTGTGAATGGACATGAGTGAGAGAAACAGTGGATATGTGTGGCGGTTTCTGACCTTGGTGTTTCTGTGTTTGCAGGTGTGCAGTGTGAGGTGCAGCTAGTGGAGTCTAGGGGAGGCTTGGTGCAGCCTGGGGGGTCCCTGAGACTCTCCTGTGCAGCCTCTGGATTCACCTTCAGTGACTACTACATGCACTGGGTCCGCCAGGCTCAAGGGAAAGGGCTAGAGTGGGTAGGTTTAATAAGAAACAAAGCTAATAGTTACACCACAGAATATGCTGCGGCTGTGAAAGGCAGATTTACCATCTCAAGAGATGATTCAAAGAACACGCTGTATCTGCAAATGAGCAGCCTGAAAACCGAGGACACAGCCCTGTATTACTGTACTAAACACACAGTGAGGGGAGGTCAGTGTGAGCCCAGACACAAACCTCCTTGCAGGGGTGCGCATGGCCACCGGGGGGCGCCCAGGACCCACTGAAGATAGGACAGGTCCCAGGTAGCTGAAGAGCAAGTCCATCCCACAACACAGGTCTTCCGCTGTGCCTGCGGTCAACTCCTGCATGGGAAAATGTTTTGATTTCTGGCACTGTAAACCCATGTTTTTCTGCTTTCAACTTCATATAAATGGAATCTAACATTATAGACTTTTTTTTTTGGCCATGGCTACTTTTGCTATATTTGAGGTTAATTCATGCTATTTAATGTATAAAATTAGATCAACATATTGTCATTTATTCAATTAATGAACTGACTCTGATATGAAACCTCAAAGTTTTCATCTATATATGGAGACAGAGAGAAAGGACAGAGATTTTATATCTGAGTCAGCCCATTAAGTAAATAAATGACAGTACATTGATCTGTTTTCCTGTTGATGGACTTTAAATTTGTTTCCATTTTATGAATATTGTAAGCAAAGCTGTTGCAAGTATCTTAAGTTTTTCTATGTTCTCTCATTTTTATTGAGAAAATATGAAGTATGCATTTCTTTATTATAAGTTTAATTTTTTTCACTTGTATTGAGGTATAATAGAAGATTTTTTAAAAGTATATATTTAAGGTGCTCCACTTGATGTTTTGATGTGTTATTGGTCCGTTCTCACATGGCTAAAAAGAAATGCCTGAGACTGAGTAATTTGAAAACAAAAAAAGAAGATATTTAATTGGCTCACAGTTTTGCAGGCTGTACAGGAAGTGCAGTGGCTTCTCCTTCCGGGAGAATCAGGAAAGTTAGAATCATGACAGAAGACAAAGAGGGGCAGGCACATCACATGACCAGAGCGGAAGCCACAGGAAGTGGGGGGAGGTCTACACACTGTTAGACACCCAGATCTTGTGAGAACCCACACACTGTAATGAGAACAGCACCAGGAGTTGGTGCTGAACCATTCATGAAAGACCCACCCCATGACCCAGTCACCTCCCACCAGGTCCCACCTTCAGGATTGAGGATTATAATACAACATGAGATTTGGTCCAGGACACAGATCCAAACCATATCAGATACACATTGAAAAATGCTCATCATGGTCGGGGTAATTTGTATATCTATCATCTCATAGAACTACCATTTTATTTTTACTGTGTGAGTGTGTATGTGTCTTATGAGAACACCTAAGATCTACCCTTTTAGCAAATCTCATTTTTACAATACAGTATTAATTATAGGAACATTGCGTATATTAGATCTCCAGGACTCATTCACCCTGCACAACTGAAACTCTGTAACCTTTGACCAACATCACCCGATTTCCCTCTCACAGGCCTGGGACCCCACTATCCTACCCTCTGCTTTCAAGAACTTGGATAGTTGAGATCCCACATGTAAATGAGGTCATGAAGCATTTGTCTTTCTGCATCTGGCTTACTCCACTTAGCAGCATATCCTCCAGGCCTACCCCGTTGTTGCAAATGTCAGAATTTCCTTGTTTTCAAAGCCAAATAAAATTCCTATTTAAGTATACACATTTTCTTTATACATTCATCCAATTTACAGTCATTATTTTACAAATCCACACTGTTATTTATAATCTTGCAATAAATATGTATTTGGCAAAATAATTTTATTTCCTTTGAATATATAACAAGAAGTGGAATCACCAGATGACATGATAGCTTTATTTTCAACTTATTGAGTAACCAATCCTACCACAACATATACCCTTTTCCCCACATTCTTGCCAACATTTGTCACCTTTTATATTTCTGATAATAGCCATATTAACTTGTGTGAGGTGATATCGCATTGTGCTTTTGATTTGAATTCCCCTGATAATGAGGAATGTTGAGAGCCTTTTCATTTACTATTAGCTATGTGTTTGTCTTCTGAAAAAAAATATATCCAGGTTTTTGCCCTTTTTTATCAGGTCATTTGCTATTTGCTATTGAGTTGTATGGTTTATTTATACATTCGGATAGAACTTCTTGTCAGATACATAATTGCATATAGTTTTTCCTGTGCTTTGGTATTAAATTCAAAGAAGTCACTTCCGAATCAATGGCAGGAAGATTTTTTTTTCCTCCATGTCATTTATGAGTTTATGTTTTCAGGTGTTATAGCCATTATTAGTTGATTTTTATATGGAGTTAAAGAAGGCTTAATTTTATTTCTTTTGCATATGGATGCCCAGTTTTTACACCATTATTGAAAAGCCTGTCCTTTTTCTACTGTGTGTTCCTGGCACACAAAATCAGGAAGAGACATAATGACAAAAGAAAATATCAGATGAATATTCCTGATGAACATAGACCTAAAAGTCTTCAACAAAATACTAGCAAATGGAATCCAGAAGCACTTTATAATACATCATGATCAACCGGGCTTTACCCCTGGGATGCAAGGCTCGTTCAATATCCACAGTGACTGTGATTCACCATATACACAGAATAAACGCAAAAACCATATGATTACGTCAATAGATGCTGAGAAAGCTTTTGATAGGATCCAATATCCACTCATGATAAAAACCCTCAACAGACTAGCCATCAAAGAATCATACGTCAGAATAGTAAGAGCCATCTATGACAAACCCACAGTCAACATCATACTAAGTGAGCCAATTAAAACACTTGTCTTTATAAATTACCCAGTCTCAGGTGTTTCTTTACAGTGTGAGAATGGACTCATACAGGATCCAAATAGGAAAGAAAGTCAATCCGTCCGTCTTCGCTGATGATACAATTCTACGCCGAGAAAATCCTAAAAACTCTGCCAAAATAATTCTAGAATAAACAACTTTATTAAAGTGTCAGGATACAAAATCAAGGGACAAAAATTACCAGCATTTCTAAACCCCAACCACATCCAAGCTGAGAGTAAAATCAAGAACACAATCCTATCCCACTTACAATATCCACAAAGAAAATGAAATGCCTGAGAATACAGATAATAAAAAAGGTGAAAGATCCCTACAAGGGGAACTACAAAACACAGCTGAAATAAATCATAAATGACACAGATAAATGGGAAAACATTTCATGCTCATGGATTGGAAGAATTAATATTGTAAAAATTGTCATACTGCCCAAAGGAATTCATGGATTCAGTGCTATTTACATAAAACTATCACCATCATTCTTCGCAGAATCAGAAAAAAAAAATCTAATTGAAAATTTATATGGAACCAAAAAAGATCCTGAATGGCTAAAGCAATGCTAAGCAAAAGGAACAATGCCAGAGGCATCATGATACCGACTTTACACCGTAATGTCATGGTAACAAAACCAGCTTGGTACTGGTACAAGAGCAGACATGCAGAAAAAATTGATCAAAATAGAAAACAGAAATATAACAATTTAGTATTTTTTTAAGGGTGGCGAAAACAAACAGTTGGGAAAAAAACACTCTATATTCAGTAAATGGTGCCTGGATAAGTGCATTCTGACAGACATGTAGAATGCAAGAGTGAAGGAGGCTGGGCAGCTCCTACCTAGATTTCAGATGTGTAGAGAGCCCTGCATGCCCAGGAACAAGCCTGCTGCAGAAGTGGAGCCACCACAGACAGCCTTTACTAGGACAGTGTTGAAGATGGGGAAAGATGGAGTTGGAACCCCCATTCAGAGTCCCCACTAGGGCACTTCATAGTAGAGCTATGGGAATGCAGCCACACCCTCAAGATTCCAGAATGGTAGAGCCAAAGGCAGCTTGCACCTCAGCCTGGAAAAGCTTCTGGCACTTGACTCTAACCTGTGAAAGCAGCACCATGGGCTGTGCCCAGCTATAGGGATGAGATGCCTGAGGTTATTGGGACCGCCTTTGTCCCAGTGTGCTCTGGTTGAAGAACATAAAGTCAAGTGAGATTATTTTGTAGCTTTAAGATTTAATATCTGCCCTAATAGGCTTTAGGTGTGTGTGGGGGGGTGGGGTGCTGTTGGCCATCCCTTTCACCAATTTATTCCTTTTGTGTTGACAATATTTACCCAATGCCTGTGGCACTATTGCACCTTGGAAGTAAATAATTATTTAAAACATTTTGCAAGCTCACAGCTTGGGGGAAGTTACCTTAAGGCTCACATGAGACTTTGGAACTTTCAGGTTGAGGTTGACCAAGTTAAGACTTTTGGAAACTATATATATTTTTTAAAAAGATGATTTTGCAACCTAAGAAGGACATAAGATCAGGGGACACAAGCGTGAAATGATACAGCTTAGATGATTGTTGTCTGCAAATCTCATGGTGAAATGTGATCCACAGTGTTGGAATTGGGGCATACTGGGAGGTTTTGGGTCATGGGGAAAGAGCTTTCAGGAATGTCTTGGTATCTACCCCATGGCCATTAGTAAATTATTTCTGTATTAGGTAGTTTGCGATCTAATTATTAAAGAGTCTGGCAACCCTCCAAATCTCTCATGTCTCCTGTCTTACCATGTGACACAGCCTGCTTCCTCTTTCCCCTCCACCATGATTGTAAGCTCCCTGAGGCCCTCACAAGAAGCAGATGCTGGTGCCATGCTTCTCACACAGCTTGCAGAAC